CAATTTGAACCCTATGTTAGAAAGAATTACCTTAAGTTCACATTGTGATGCACCTTGTTTGTTCGGCAACAGTTAGAAAAGAAGTTTGAATATAAATAAATAATGCATCCATAGTGTTTGCTTCAATGAGAACGGGTAGTGAAAGACGTATATATATTTTTTTTAAAAAAAAAAAGGCCAAAAAAAAAACAAAAAAGGCCCCAAAAAAATAAAAATAAAATAAATCTTGATAAAGTATTATTCATATAATTATGTTATTAAGGTTTGGGTAGTGAATAAAGTAAGGGTTTCCTTGTTTGTGCGAACTATTTTTCACATGCTAGCATCGTGTTCTTATTGTATTTTTTTTTAACATATTTTAGCCTTCGCATATCCTTTTTCCTACCCCTAACCATCAGCCCCGTTACAACCTTTATAAAAAGGTCCCTTTGATTCTTGATGTTAGATTCGAGTATCTTAAGCAAGGAAGATTTGATTCTCATTCAAGCCTATGGGATAATCTTTTGTCCCACTACTTGAGTGTTAGCTGATTATATACACTTATTTCTTTCAGAGAGCATGTGCACATATACTTTATCCTGTGAGGTTGACTTGGCTTGATATGTTGAATTTCCGATTGATTTGGTTGAGTTAGATTTTCTTGTCATGTTGAGTCGCTCACGATTTCTTTTGGCTTGTTTCGAATTTATGCTTGAGAGAAAGCATGATCTAGGTGTGAGGAGATTTGATAGCCATAAGTCGGATGCGTTAAATATTTATATTATTTGCGATATTTGGTTGATTTTGATTAGATTCTACTTGATTTGGGCATATATTTTTTATTTATAATTTGCAGGAGAAAAATAATAAAATTGATATAATTAGGGGGAAAAGAAAACAAAAAGGTCCAAGGTTCAATTGTTACAAAATTAGGGCAAATATAAAGGAAAGAAAGAAGGGAGAGGTGCCACTTTATGCCACTTGCCGAGGAGAGCACCGTGTAGAAGAGTCCCAGAGAGAAACCGTGCAAGGGTGAGAAGGAGAAAGATTCTGCCAAGAAGATTTCAGGTTCTTCCCCTACCAACATCATTCTCAGGCGATGTTTCTCTTTGCTTCCTTTTTCTTTGTTCTTCCTCCTATGGTTAGAGAGTAGTTTACTTTTCTAGTCTAGGAGTGGAAAACAACTTGGTATGGATTTGGGAGATTAGACTTATTTTGATTTATGAGATTTCTTTGGTTCCTAAGTATTTATGTGGTTTCTGATTTCTTTGAGTTATAATCTTTTATTTGGTTGGGTATTGTGGCTAGGTATTTCAATTGGATTAAGGATTAATTGCTATACTAAATTAGGCATCCGTAATTCCGTTTTAATTTGGTTCAAGTAGCAACTAGTGGCAGACACCATTAGGAAATCACGGAATCAATTTTAAACAATTTCACATAGTTAATTGTTAAATTGAATTAGGCTCTTCTAGTTTGCAAGTCGGTTAGGCTAGTAAATTCTTTGTGGTGTCACTAGGGTTCTAGTCTAACTAGGGAAGCAGATGACGGGCATACCTAGACTGTCAAGAAATTAAAAAAGAGTTGGTTATTAGGCTTGTGTCGATAACTATAACCAATTTATTTAGAAACCAATATAATTGAATATTTATCGATGAACAAATCCACTACCCAAATTGTCAATTTTATTCCTAGACTGGAAACTTGTTTTTATTGAATTTATCTTTTAGTAGTAGTGTTTTTAGTTTGTTATTTTATTTTTATCTCCTACTTCCAAAATCCATCATTTTATTATATTTATAAATCAAACAATAAAAAATAAAACTTTTTTAATTCCTTGAGGAGACGACCCTACTTCATCTATACTACGTTATTTTTATTGCAGAAGTAGGTTTATTTTATTTAAATTTTGCAGCGTGTGAAAAATGCCTGCCAGAGAGGAGTTAGTCAAACCCATGAACATGACTAACTCGGGGGTGCAAATCTAAATTTTTCTTTACTTTTTTCTTTCAATTAGGCCAAATTTGCTTTTTCTCTCCTGCATGTCAGAAATAAACAATACGTACATAAATTAGGTAGAATCCAATCAAAATCAATCAAATATCGCATATAATATGAACATTTAACGCATGCGATTTCAAGCTATCAGTTCACATCGGAGCTAGCATGGATAAGGACAAGACATTAAAGCCCCTAAGATCTCCTGAAATCTTGAAGCTAGCCACTTAAGTCGCAAACTCGCATATTAGCTCAAAACTCATCATGAAACACACAAGAAACTCACACTTATTACTAAAAACTATTGTCCTATGAAATCGACGGCCAACACTCGCTGAGAAATGCCTGAATCACTCGCGCAAAATATCAAAAGCACAAGGAGTACAGGGAGAGGAGTTTCAAAAAGTGAAGAACATAATGGACTGACAGATACATAATGTGGCGGCAATAACGCCCCCTAACATCAAGATCAATGGCTCAAAATAAAAACTTAATTTGAACTGCTAAGATTTAACCTTGGTAAGTAATGGACTACACAGGCTAGGCCATAATCTGCCCAAAGGTGAGTAAGTTGGCTTGGAAAAAATAGAAATGCCTCAAAACAAATCACAGGCAGAGCCCAACAAATAATTACACATCTGCAAACTTTGTTTCTTATTAAGTTGTTATTCTTAAGAGGCATCGCCACGTAGGAAGCATTATAGGAATTCTAGGCTTGATTTATGTCCGCACGGTATCCTCACACAACATCTATGGTTCCACTCTTGAATACTTAATTATATATATGTAATAATTAAAAATATAAAGATAAATAGATGCATAATACTATCAAATATGTATATATGTCGTGACAAAATATATTATAATACAAATTTAATATAAGAGAGAGAAAATTGCAACAAATATTCTCCACCTATACCCAATTATAAATTTTGTCATTTATTTATTTCACTGACAAAATATACCCTACATGTAACATGTTTGAAAATTCCCCATTCCTGTCATCCGGCCACGCATCATGATCACACAACAGTTGTTCCAGACACAGCCGGAGGATAAAAATGACAACTTTTGCAAACGTTTAGGATATATTTTTCCAACAAGATAAAAAATGGACAAAAATGGTAATTGAATATATGTAGAGGATATTTTTTAGAATTTTCCCACATAAAAAGATATATTTAACGACTTTGATACTATATTATATCAATTAGTTATGTGTTGTATTAGTTCAATATACATATATATATGCACATAGAAGTATAAATTTTATAGTCCAACTAGTCTCTTTTCTTCTAAACCCTAAACCCTAATCGAGCAAAATGAAAACAACACAAAAACATCAAAACATATGAAGCTCCAGCTGTGGCACACCCTCACAAAAAAAAAAGAATGGTGGATGGTTCACCTCGGCACCAACATAAACAAGAACAACCAAGTTAAGATCCAAAGCTCACGTAAAATCGAAACCCTAGCCACTACAATCGAAAACCCATAAATTTACTCAAAACTCACCATGAAATACACAAGAAACTTACACCTATCACTAAACCATACTCTTCTGTGAATTACACGACAAACATTCACCGATAAATGCCTGAATCAATCACATAAAATATCAAAAGGGTAGGGAGTACAGGGAGACAAATTTTGCAAAGTGAATAACATAATGGATAGAAAAAATATATAATGAGGTGGCAAGGATAAAATATAAAGGACCCCAACATCAAGATCGATTTCATTATACTACCTTAACCCGAAAAACTAAGATTTCATCTTCGTAAGTAGTGGACTTCATGGGCCGGGCCATGATCCAGACAATGAGAAATTGGATTTGGAAATAATACAAATGCCTCATAACATATCACGGGCCAAACCCAACAAATACTTACCTATCTGCAAACCTTGTTTACCCATCCACTGTTACTCTTAAGAGGTGTTGCCACCTAGAAAGCGTACGAGGAATATTGGGCTTGTCTATCACCCAATTGTTGAATTTGGATTCAAATATGTTTATCGAATATATTGTTAAAGTCAATATTTTATTCATTCATATTATTTAAACGATCTAATTAATATAATTAATTATTGATTGATGGACTATATTGTTATGGAATGAAAGTGTAGCTATCCACATATAATATTATTATTTTTGAGACAGGCCAAATTAATAATATTAATTAAGAGCATAATTGTAATTAAAATTATGTTTACCATATTATAAATAGGCTAGAGTTAGGTTCCCGGGATAGAGCGCTGTATAGAGATTTGACTCTCTCTATAGTTTCTACTCCGCACCCGTTGAGGATAGAAAAGAGCCCGACGCTCTGATCTTGGAAGACCAATCCCTTTAATCTTCTAAGATTCGCATATGATTTCATCTTCATGTACGTTTCTACTTTATATTTAAATTTCCAAAATTAGTATAAGAGGCTTGTTGAATTTTTAGATGTTTTCTTGGATTAATTGGCGTTTACTTGGGGTCATATTATGTTTTCTTGTTCTTGGGAAAATTTTGTTGTTGCAATTCTTCTATTTGCAAAATCTTAATCATGTTTTTGACTCGATCCTTTGTCGATAATCTGATTTCCCTTCACCCGAACCAAATCTTCATCTTCAGACGTGTAATTAATTACTTGATTGCTTTAAGTAATTATTAGTTGAAATCACTACCAAAAAAATGACTATTCACCACGGTTACAGGGTTTGTAACAATAGCATCGTAACAAATGGTTGTTTTAGTTACGTTAAAATCCATGACAACATATTTTTACCGCAAGTCAACGTTTCAAGTTCACTAATTACGCAAAATAGTTTGTAACAATTACGAAGATGGTAAACTTTGATCAAAATAACATTAGTTACGATACTTTTCGTAATTATTGCCATTTAATATTTTTTGTGAATTTAAATTGAATAATTAAAAAATGAAAAAAATGGTTAAAATGCTTTCACGCTTTAAAAAAAATGAGGACGTGTGTTTTTAACAACAGGTATAAGTTCCCACACTTAGAGAAATTTAGGGCACATCATTCCCCCTCAATCGATCAATCGTATTCTCTTTCTCCTTGCGCCGACGCAACCATCGCCGTGAAACTGGTGGGATCAAGTATCTACCGCGCTGGCGTCCAGGTAAGGTTTGTAAGTTTTTACTAGTATGATTCGGTGTCGATCCACAGTTTTTTGTCTCTTCGTTTGAAAGGGAAAATCGATTTGGATAGTATTAATATTCAATTTTTTCCTCAGGTTGATACGGAGCATCCACCTTGGGGAGTAGCCTCGGGTATGATACGATTGTTTCCTCATTGTTAAGGTTTTTGTGTGGGGCAAACTATTGAGCCAAATTTCACAATTTCTTATTGGGTAAACAATGTACCTTCACGATATCTTGTGAAACCCTCAGATTTCAAAACTGCTTAGGGCGATTTGAACTATATCTGATTAGTACGAGTGTTCATATTTGAAATCTACATGGGCTGCCCCCTGATTTGCAATTTATATATAATTTTTTATTCTAAACTTTAGTTACAGGCTATTATTAAAATTATTCTTCTTGGCGATTTCATTAATTAGTCTTATACAAGAACAATAGACCATACTATGAGATTAAGAAAATCTTTGCAATATTTCTATTTACATAGGTTATTCTAAATTTGGGTAAGTATGGCATATAGTGTGAGAATGGTTGGATCATTGGCTTTTACTTGAGAGATGCTCAATTGGGGAAATAGGTAGCCTATTAAATTGATGTGAAGATTCATAATAAAGTCATACCATTTAAGTCTCTGGAAGTGAAAATATAAAACAGAGAGTGATTTTGGTTGCTTGTTTATTTATTTAATCAAATTTCAGAAATTTATGTTTGGCTTTTCTTGATAATTTTGGTTTTGATTTTTACAAGATATACAAAAATTAATAATAATAATAATAATAATAATAATAATAATAATAATAATAATAATAATAATAATAATAATATGATATAGTTGCAGTGTATACAAGCGTACTAAAAAAAAAAGAAAAAGAAGAATATGGGTAAACAATGGATTTCAACAATTAACTGAACCTTTTTTTTGGGAATTAATTAAGAGTACCAATACAACCCCTGCTTGGTCTTTACTTGTTTGTATGTAAGAGAGTGTTTTGTTTGTCCGTATGTGTTTTCACCAATTAAAGAAACACAATTCAGATGCATAATTTTTTGTGTATAGTAATTACATTGACTTGTTGTTTCAAACTTTTACTTGTTCTTTTACATTTATTTAAGAAAAAGAGAGTATATATTAGACATAACACATGTACACACTTGATATTATTATTCAACCATTCGAAATTGTAGGCTTTGTTTTACAAATATGATCATATATAAGAGACATCTGATCTGAACTATATCTAATTTTATGTGTATGGAAAGACTGCAAACTATGAATAATTGTTCTTTTATCAATTAAGAGCATTTTCTAGGAAACTTTGACATTGCCAACAATGAGGTAACGGTACTCCGGCGCCGGCAATGAGGTAATGATTTTGATTAACTCCCAAATGTGAATTGGTATGGGTGTTCTCGAAGCCCGATTTGTTCTTTATGAGTTTGTGTGTGAAGAATGATTCATGAATCGATTCACTACGGTTTCGGTGATTTGGTACTTTTCTGTTGAAAAGACTAACTCTACACTTTTTTATTGCTAGGAAATCGTGTTTCAAACAAGATTTACTTGTTGGTTTATTTCATCAATTTTTTGATCTCCTCTATGAGTGGATTCTCAGTTTTCAGTTATTTAGTTTTTTGCTTTGAGTTTGTTGTTTAAGAAGCAATAGGTTGGGAGAATACCTATTCAGTCTCATGGTTTCACATCAACATCTCCTAGCCAAAGGTGTTACCTTATTTTTAGGAGTTTTTGGATTTTTGTTGGTGTTTTATTTCTAGTAGTGTTTTCACTTGTTGCTACTTGTGGGGCTTTAATTTTTTTGGAGTGTTTTGTTATTTACTGGGTACTTTGCCAGTGGTGGTTCTTTTAGAACAGTATACGGTCACGGGGGAGATGTTAATTCAGTGAAGTTTTTTTCTGGATGGACATAGATTTGGGACAGGTTCGGATCAAGGAAGTGTCCGGCTGTTTGATATCAAAACCTGGAACTAGCTTCAAGTATATGAGCAACCAAATGGTAGTGATGAGGTGTCTCATGTAACTTCAATTGCATTTTCCATCTCGGGCCGGCTTCTTTTTGCTGGATATAAAGATGGGGATTGCTATGTATGGAGACACTCTGTTAGCACAAGTACACACAGATAGGCATTCTTGACATACTGTTTTATTATCTTTGAGTGTGTTTGTTTGTTTTTTGTTTATATGTAAATATATTATTAGGAGATGAGACGGGTTTGGTTTACTTTTAATAACACACAGTTTTCAATTTGGGATTTCTTCAAAGTTCACATGATGGTCGGATGAGTTGTGTGGGATTAACTTCTGACTTGATTGGGTTGTGCACAAGAAGTTGGGACACCAATCTTAAGGTTAGTTGTTTGGTTTGTCTTGAATTTTACAATTAAGGATAAGAGAATAGAAGAGAAGAGTAGGAATTTGAGAGATAGATAGATGGTTATAATATGTTTATGTTACTTGTTATTATTGGAAGATTTTGGCGTTTGGAGGGTACCGCAGAGTTATCTGAAAGAGAAGAGAAGAGGGAGAAGGTGAGGTGAGGTGAGGAAATGCTATCTGCCTACCTGCTTGGTGGTTGATTGTTTTAATTGCTATGATACTTCTTGTTCTTCTTGTTGTTGTAATATATGTTATATGTCTTTAACAGACAGACAAAGCAAGGTAACTAGTAAGCAAGCAAGCAAGCTCAGTAGATAAACTTAAAAGTCATAGTGGAAAATAAGTATTCCTAATATAAATGCATTTACATTAGAACCAAAGAATTGTTCAATCAATTAACATACAGTACCATACTTGTTTGTTTGTGGGGAAGGACGATAAGATGAACATGTAGATGTAAATGAAAATGGAAAGAAACTCAGAGAAAATAAAGGATTGGAAGAAGAAAAAGGGAAGAAAATAAATTTGTTTTATGATGAATTTAGAAGTTTCCATATTAAGTTGTCAAGATAGAAGCATGTTTGCTTAATTTTGGAATGGTGCATATCAAGCAAGAAGTTTTTTTTTTTTTTTTCAAATTACGTCATACCAATTTATATCATATTTTACTGTCTCATGTTTTCATTTATTTTTTTTTCTTTTTAGATCACTCCTAATGGATATGCATAGATGCCTCAATGTGCAGTGCTCTATCTGATAGTTTAGCATTTGCATTCATTAGTTTCAATATTTTAGTTTAGTTTGTTTATAGTTTTGCAACATGTTTGTTTTTCTAATGTGGGTTCTAACAGTTAGGTGTTATGTATTTGTTTTGTTTTATATTAAATTCTTCACCAATATTTATGTTTCATAATCAATTTTTCTCTTAGGTTGGACGTGAGAGGCATTCAACCTTATGTCTTATGCAAAAATTTGTAAACTTGAAGGAAATGGGAACTAAATTGCAGATTATATCTGCATGTGTTGTTGATCACTTAAATGGCTTTATTTTTTTGTTGAAGCTGATAGACAACATGATATCTATGAAGTGATTTTCTTGCCCTTGTTTGAGTATCTGATTATTATATCTAGTTAAAGTAATTGTGTTTGAACACTCTATCTACATTTGAGGCTTTTTGTTAGATGCATGCATAAACAGTTTCTTGTGGGTGTATTATATGTATCATATATCTACTTGAATTCTTAGTAATGTTAGGAACTATCTAAAAATTTTGAATCTGCAGGCATATGAAGGGATTGGGACTGTATATTCCAGTAAAGTGATGAAGGTTCTGACTAATGAAATTTCTCGTTTTCAATCGGTAAGAAACAAAACGGTTGGAATTTCTAAGGGCATGTTGGCCCGATCTTGAGTGGAAGGTATAAACGTGATTTTGCATAGGTAGGAAACTATCTGCTAACATTGAGAAATTTCATTGGTATTTCTGGAAAACAATTTACTATCTTTTTGAATTTAACCAATATAAGCCAGGTAGTATATGTCAATGAAGTTCGGAAGAAAGTAACTATGAAATTGATTCCAAGGATTTGATTTAAAAGCAATGGATGAAAAAATTGTAAGAATATTCACTTCTTATTGTTTTCAGGTGTTGTGAGATGTCTGCCATTCCTTTTTGATGCAAATGCCTATAGATGTAGAAGTGTAAACACCTGCACGGGCCTGCACAAACACACATGTTAATATTCATTTGTAGAGCTGTTTGGTAGTTTAGTATTGTTATATGATTTATTGTTATTATGTTTTAGTGGTCACCCCGAAGTTATGTTTTGGTTTTAGTTGTTGGTATATGCTTATTTAAGATAGGATCTAGACAATAATTTGATGGAAATTTTTGGTTGTAGTACAAATTTCTATATCTCACTTTTCAGAACCATGCTATCGGTTAGAATTGGTTTAATGTAATTTGTGTAGTTTCAAATTGGTTGAAATAGGTTTAATTAATTTTTTTAATTTCGGATTGGTTGAAATAAGTTTAATTTAATTTATTTAATTTCGAATTGGTTGAAATAGGTTTTTTGTAATTTATATAGTTTCGGATTGATTGAATTACTTTAATGTATTCCATGTCGATCCAAATGAAGAGACATACAAGGATTTGCAGATTTTTAGTTCGATTTGTATTTTTTGTTATTATCTAATTGATTTGGAACTTAGTTTAATGTATTTTTGTTATTATCTTAGCATTTCAATGCAACTTGTTTTTAGCCTTTGATACTTCCTTTTTTTTTGTGTTTTTCAAAACATCTATTTAATAATTTGAAATTTAGACTGATATACTATTATGATTTCAGTGCAGCTTCTTCATTGACCTGGTTCTTGGATACTTTTGCCAGGGATTCAATTCCACTTTACTCTCCTTCTGTTGGTAATTGCAGCTCATGCGCCACCCCTGAAGCATATCAATCGATTCCTTAATGTTCTGCCCCCGTTTGCCTTATGGATTGGATGCCGTAGATGTGTTTGGATGGTAGGTTGTTACGGCTATGTGTAATACCTATGGAATAGATGCATAAACATTTGGAATTATCTTTTGTGTGGTGAGAATTGTTGCAATGGATTGATGGATTTCCCCACTTGCTTATTACTAGGTTGGATGTTTAAAATGCTTGCATTTTGCGGAACATAATGTCGAAGTGAAGATGTTGCTAGGCTTGTTTGATGGGTTACTTTATTTTGTTGTTTGGCGGTGGACATCGTCTAGTAAATATTGCTATGTTAATATCCTATGTTGGGATTCCCTTATAGTGTTTATTGTTTGCAATTATGGCCAATCGTAATTTTTATAGCATGGTTGTATACAAAATTTCCTTTGGTGTAAGAAAGATCACAGTAGGTTAATTTTTTATGCACAATTTCAATTGTAACACAACTACTCTTTTTTATGAGACGCTATTTTTTCATAACAAAAGAAAGAAATGACGTAACAAAATATTGTTTTGGATATTTGTTGTTACGACCGGTTCTGTGACCATAAGAATGGATAGTTTTGTTAAGGATTCAATGACATAACAAAAAAATCAAATGACGTAACAAAAAGTGGTTTTTGGACATAACAAATATGAAGGGATAATTTTGTTACGCCGGTTTCGTGACCATAAAAAAATATATTATTTATTACGGCTTCAATGACGTAACAAAAAATCGTAACAAAAAACGTACTCTGACAAGCGGTCATAGTAAATTTTTTGGTAATGCGAGAAACTTTTGTAACAAATATCGTGACTAAAAGTCCTTGCACACGCGTGGGAAGCTCGACTTTTTATTACGAGAGAATATTCGTAACAAATATCGTAACAAAAACCTTGCCATAAGGAACGTTGACCGAGAGTAGTAGTTACAAAAATGTGCGTGGCAAAAAACATTCGTTATGCGAGTACATATCACAGATAAAAGTCATCACTAGGGTATAACAAATACGCAAATTACATAAAAATTGACTTTTCGTTACGAATTTTCAGCCGTAACTGTTTTTTGGTAGTGAATATTCAGCCTAAGTTAGGGTTTGTTTGTGCGGATAGGATATATACATATATATTGGTAAGTGTCTTTCCTCGGTATCAGTAGATGTATTTGTTTGTTATTGTAATAATTCATTTGTAACCATTACTCTTTAATAGAATTTATGGAATTATATATATATGCATATGATATAACAACAAGCTATAGTTCCACTCCATGTGTTTGACTAGTTTATTTTAGTAAAATAATTTAATATGCATGATTATTTATTTATTTGTCCATTTATTGGAATAAATTTATGAAATTATGTATATATGTATATTTTCATAAATTTATTATTTGTTTCGATGCAAATTCTATTTGTATTGGAAACGCTTTAATAATATACTTGTTGCGTTTTGATGGTGAATATCAAGTATTTGAAGTTATCAAAGTTATCTCTCTTATATGAAATTTTTATTTGATGATGTAAGTGTTTATATATGTATTTTAATTCATATGATTATTTTTCGGTACAAAAACAGTCGATAATTGACAAAATAAAATATACATCTACGATAATATGTATGGGACGATTATATGTATTTGTGACACCCCGGCCGGCAAGCCGAACCGGGCATGTCGGGATCGTAGACTAGCCCCATAGGTCAACACGAGTCCTTCTAGGACGCTTCTGTGCCCAATAGGGCAAGCACGCTTAACTATAGAGTTTATTCAATAGGGCTTCCGAAAAAGAATGTGCACATTGTTGACATTAGTAGTCTATTCAATCCATTTAATTACTATTTAATATCGGATGGCCTGAGACCGGCTCACCCACGGGAGGTGGCCTAGCACCGGCTCAACTCCGGGGATATTACAGTATTTAACTTATATGAATAGTGAGTCAGTCAAAATAGTGATTCATTGTTTGACATTACTTATTGTCCATATATGATTATTGCAATAAGATGGCTATTTGCAGTTAATGTTATTGATCCAAAGATTAATCATTAATGGTGCGTTTAGTGTCTTGAGATGAGATTGCATTATTTTATTTTGAGTTTCATTATGCTATGTTAGTACTTATGTGTATACTTATTCATTGTTATCTTCAAGATCAAATCTTATGGTATCTTCTAACTATTCGGTCCCGATACTATCTGGGGATAATTTTTAGCACTGAAAATAATCAATATTAATTTATTTGGGTTGTATGAATCTTGACTTGTCATTAAGAATAGACCAATCAACTCCTACGACAGAAAGCACTGCAGATGAAAAGCGGTTGTTAAGAAGTGGGATAGGTCTAATCGCCTTAGACTCTTGATCATAAAGAAAAGCATTCAAGAAATCTTTCGGGATACGATATCTTATGATATCATTACTGCCAATAAGTTCCTTTTCAAAATTAAGAAATGCTTTAACAAAAACGATAAGGCGGAAATGAGTATTCTTCTCAAGAGTCTCATTACCATGAGCTATAACGGCAAAGGAAAAACAAGGGAATACATCCTGAACATGTCTAATACTGCTTCTAAAATTAGAATACTTAAGTTAGACCTTTCGGTGCAAATGTTAGTCCTATTGGTTTTGCTCTCACTTCCTACTCGATACGATTAGTTCAAAGTCAGTTATAACTGTCAAAAGAAGACATAGACTCTTAATGAGCTCATCTCTCACTGTGTTGAGGAGGAAGAAATGATGAAATAAGACTGATGAGATACAAATGGTTGGTACCTCGAAGGATGCAGACGGCAAGAAGAGAAAATATAAGGCCGTTAAGGTTGAGATTCCTAAGGCTCATGTTCTAGCTCCATTTCATCGGGCTCGTCCTGAGAAGACTTGTTTCTATTGCAAGAAAAATGGGCATGAGAAGAAGAATTTTACTAAGTTTCACTATTGGCGTGTGAAGAAGGGTATGTTTCTTACTTTGGTTTGTTCTGAGGTTAATTTAGCTTCAATACCTCGAAACACTTGGTGGTTAGACTTTGGATCAACTACCAACATCCGTGTTTTAGTGCAGGGTTGCATGAGCTACCGAAACCCAATTGGTGCTGGAAGATGTATTTACGTTGAAAATGGGGATTCAGTAGATGTGCACGTCATGAGAATTTTCAAGTTGTTATTAAGTATTGGACATTTTCTTGAATTTTGAGACACTTTTATAGTAACGTCAGTTAGATGGAACTTGGTTTCCGTTTCTTATTTGGACAAATTTAGTTATCATTGTTCTTTTGGAAACAATAAAGTTGAATTGTCTTTGAATTCATGTTTGGTTGGTTTTAGACTTTTATGGTGAATGACAATTTATTTTATTCTTAAGAAGCGTTTCCACCCAAGAGGCCTTAGGGGAATACTTGGTTTGTCAATCTCCCATTATTGACAACTATCTTGATTTATAACGGTGGGATCCCAGCACGGCATCCCCGTATGACATCGCTGGTTTCCACTCTCGAATATTAAAATATGGATATATATACGTAAAATAAAAAAATAAAAAAATAGATAAATGATACAATCAAATATTATATTTGTGTTGTGACAAAATATATTATAAAAATAATTTTAGTATAAAAAGATATATTTAATGACTTTGACACTATTATATCAATTAGTTTTGAGGTGTATTGGTGTCAGTACACATATAACTTTCCTTCGAGAGATGCACATTCAGGACCGGAGCACGGGGCAACCATGCGTTATAACGGAAGGAGAAGTGGAGTTGGAGGAAAATGCTCTCTAACATAATTTCATTCTAGTGGACTCGGGACTCATAAGGAAAACCTTTCCTCGTCAATGCTGGAACCTAAGTACTTCTGGTTTACGGAAAGGTACCTTTGAAGATAGTACAATGAGATATAAAACATAACATTTCCAATGGTTTGTTTAAGAAACTATAGATACCTTTCAAGTTGGAGCAAGGAAAAAAATTGCTTGCCTATTGGTGAAATATAATACCTACTAAAAGATTGATTATTAGAATGTATTCTAGGAAAATTATCATAAGGAAACTGAATGAATTGGATATTGTTGTGTTTATAGGTTGGAAAATGCAAAACATTAAATAAACAAACAAGATTTAACATAAAACACTTGTATTGAATCAAGCCAAAGAAAAAGAGCAAACAACCATCAAAATGTATGAAGTGCCATGCCTGTCACATACTTATGAACAAAAGGGGACTGTGGATAGTTTAAACCGGCACCAGCACAACCGAGAACAACCAAGTGAAGCCCTAATGCTCAACTAAAATCTAAACCCTAGCCACTTCAATCGAAAACTCACATATTCCCTCAAAACACAATGTGAAACACACAAGAAACTAACACCTATCACTAAACAAAAGTCGCCTATGTCTTTGACGGCCAACACTTGTCGAAAATGCCTGAATCGCTCACACAGAATATCCAAAGGGAAAGGAGTTCAAGCAGAGAAATTTTAGAAAGTGTAAAATATAATGAGGCTGCAAAAATGAAATGTAATGCACCCTAACAAGAAGATTGGCAGCTAACTATACAACCCTAATTCGAACGGCTAAACTCTCATCTTGGTAAGTAATGAAGTTTATGGGCTGAGCCATAATCCAAGAAAAAGTGAGCAATTGAGCTCAAAGTAACACAAATGTCTCATAACAAATAACAGGCCAAACCAAAAAAATACTTGCCCTTCTGTAAACTTTGTTCCTTCAGTTGTTATTCCTTAGTGGCGTCACCACCCATGAGCTGTTTGGGTAATATTGGGCTTTTAATTGCCCATTGTGGATATCCATCTTAATATATGTCGGTGGGATCTGCTCAAGGCATCCACGCACGATATCTCTAGTTTCCACTCTTAAATATTTAAAGATATGCCTATGTAGTAATTACAATAATAATTAAATAGATGCACAATATTATTAAATATTGTATATATGCTGTGAAAAAATATATTATAAAAAAATTTTAGTATTAAAAAGATATATTTAATGACTTTGATACAACATTACATAACTTAGTTTTGAGTTGTATTATATCAAGATATTCATTTTCATTAATATCGGTGGGATCCGCGCATAGCATCCTCACACGATATTTCTAGTTTCCACTCTTTAGTATTTAAATATACATATGCCTATTTAATAATTACAAAAATAAATAAATAGATGCACGGTAATATCAACCATTGTATATATGTTGTGACAAAATAGATTATAAAACAAAATCGGTGTTTGAAAGATATATATAATGACTTTCATACAATATTATATCAATTCATTTTAAGTTGTATTGGTTTCAGTATAAGTATATGCGCATTAAAGTTTACAATTTACTATCAAATTAGTTTGGTTTCTTCCATGTCATATAGTA